CTGGGGGCCCCCGTGAACCCTTGGGGGCCCCCAAGGGTATAGGGGGGCCCCCCTGTACCCTTGGGGGCCCATCTGTACCCTTGGGGGCCCCCCTATACCCGGGGGGCCCCCGTGTACCCTTGGGGGCCCCCTTATACCCCTGGGGGCCCCCATATAAACCAAGGGGGCCCCCGTATAAACCTATGGGGCCCCCATATAAACCTAGGGGGCCCCATATAAGCTTGGGAGCCCCCGTGAACCACTGGGGGCCCCCGGGGGCCCCCATGAACCCCTGGGGGCCCCCCGTTCGTGAGGGGGGCCCCCCTGCGTGTGATTTGCGAAGGAGAAGAAAATAATAGTTTTTTGTTTTTGTTTGTTGGCTGTATTCAATTTGTGTTGGGTACAAAATTAGGGTTTAGGGTTTAGGGTTTAGCATATTAGGGTTTAGGGTTTAGGGTTTGGGTTAGTAGGGTTTAGGGTTTAGCTCATTAGGGTTTTCTCCTCACTTCTATTTATTTTATTTATTAATTTATTTATTTTGTTTTATTTTATTTATTTATTTTATTTTATTTATTTATTTTATTTTATTTATTTATTTTATTTTATTTATTATATAAACAAAAACATGAAATATAACAAAGACAAAATATTCCTTGATTAACCAGTGTTTGTTGGGGGGCCCCCTTGGGGGGCCCCCAAAGGGGGCCCCCCGGGGGGGCCCCCCTAAACCCTAAACAAAACCAAAATTCATACAAAGCCGCACTGCCTCACAGCTCATCTCCCTGAGGGTACAGGGCCCCTCTGGGGCCCCCCAGGGGCCCCCCTCAAAAGGGTACTGGGCCCCCTGGGGGCCCCCAGGGGGGCCCCTCAAGGGATAGCTAACGGTTCGCTGGGGGGCCCCCAGGGGGCCCCCAGGGGCCCCCTGGGGGCCCCTTAAAAGGGTAGCGGGGCCCTGGGGGCCCCTAGGGGGCCCCTGCAAAGGGTACCTACAGCACCCTGGGGGGCCCCTCTCGTGAATACAGTACCCCTCGGGGGCCCCCACTGGGTACTGGGGGCCCCCTGGGGCCCCCTAGGGGCCCCTGGGGGGCCCCCAAGGGGGGCCGGGGGGTTAGAGTGATAGAGAGAACTGAATTGTTTTGTTTATATAAAAGAAAAAAAAAAGATAAAACAAAAAGAGAATAAAACAAAAATAAAGAAATAGAAAAAAAAGATAAAACAAAACGGAAAAACAATAAACATATATTTCTGTTGTTTTGTTTTTTTATTTTTTTTTTTTGTTTTTTTTTCACTTTTTTTCTTTTGTTGTTTATTTGTTTATTATTGTATTTGTTTATTGTCTTTCTGTTTATTTTATTTATTTATTTTTTTATTTTATTTATTTATTTATTTATTTATTTATTTATTTTTTTTTTTATTTTTTTTAAGACCCCCGGCTATGCATCCACAAAAATTTTAGTGTTTCGTATGAACCTGCGTATACACCCAAATAAATAAATAAATAAATAAATAAATAAATAAATAAAATAAAATAAAATAAACAAAATATATAAATAAAAATGCATATAAATAAAATAAATAAATAAAATGAAGAATAAATAATAAATAAATAATTAGTATATTAATAAATAAAGAAATAAACAAGTAAACAAATAAACAAATAAACAAATAAACAAATAAATAAATAGATAAAACAAATAAACAAATAAATAAATAAACAAAACGAATAAACAAATAAATATATAAACAAAACAAATAGATAAATAAATAAATAAATTAATAAACCAATAAACAAAACAAATAAATAAATAAATAAATAAGCAAATAAATAAATAAAACAAATATATAAATAAATAAATGAACAAATACACAAATAAAATAAATAAATAAATAAACAAATAAAAATAAATAAATAAACAAACTTACCCCAGC